AATAATAATAATAAAGGGAGAAATGTGGGATCAACATATAAATCAAGTATAAAAATCAAATGAATATTCATATTTGACCTGATTGTTTATAGTTCATAATGCGTGATCAAAACCTAAAGTTTCTGTGATCAATGCCCTTGTACTGTTCTCCATGTAAGAATTTATTCACTATGTAAGAATTCATTCACCATGTAAGAACTTGTTCGTTATGCTTCAGAAGATTGGAGACTGACAAGAATTAGGCTTGAGATGGATTAATGATTGTACATTGAGCATTGACCCCCCTATACAGAATTTTATTGTTGTTAACAACCATTTGATCAAAAAATATGAGAGATGCCCTCTCAAAAAAAGAAAAAAAAACAAATCTCCTGAATTACATTAGGAAACCAGCTGAGGCTGAAACATTGTCACTAGTAAGACCCCTATTTACTGTGAGATATTTGTATAATTGGTACTTTATGGGATCAAACTCTTCTCTGTTTATTATTAAACTAATGCATTTAAAAAAAAGTGGAAAGATCTAAATAAATATTTCTTAAAAGGAAACACACAAATGATTAACAGGTATATGAAAAGGTGCTCAACATCATTAATCTTCAAGTAAATGCAAATCCAAAATAAAATGGGGTATTTCTTCACATCTGTTAGAACAGCTATCATCAAAAACATAAAAGGTAAGTGTTGACAGATGTGAAGAAAAGGGAATCCTTGTACACCACTGGTGAAAATGTTAATTGAAAACAGTATTGAGTTTCTGCCAGAAAACTAAAAATAGAACTACTATAAAATCCAGCAATCCCACTTTTATATAGACATATAAAGAAATAAAGTGACTATCTTAAAGAGATATCTGCATTTCCATGTTTCTTGCTCTATTATTCCCAATAGACAAGATATATATATTATATACACACATGCACAAATACAATGGGATATTATTCAGTTTTAAAAAGAAGGAAATCCTGCCAATTGTGTAAACATGGATGAACCTAGAGGACATTATGCTAAGTGAAATAAACCAGACTTGGAAAAACAAAATATTTTATGATCTCCCTTATACGTATTATGTAAAATAGTTAAACTCATAGAAGCAGAGTAGAATGTTGGTTACCAGGGGCTAGAGGGTATGGGAAAGGGAGAGATATTAGTCAAAGATTACAAAGTTTCTGTTATGCAAGATGAGTAAATTCTGGAGATCTAACAGCATGATGACTATAATCAACAATATTATATATTTGAAATTTGCTAAGAGAATAGACATTAAATATTTTCATCATACACAAAAAAATGCTAACTATATGAGATGATGGACATATTAATTAGTTTTATTGTGATGATCATTTCACAATGTATACATATAGCAAAACATTGAGATGTACACCTTAATATATATAATTTTTACTTTTTATTTATACCTCAATAACACGAGGGAAAAAAATACTCTATCCCAGGTAGATTGAAAGAGAATGGTGCTGCCCTCATAGACCTAATTCAGGATTCAGAAGTGGTACTCCCATCATATTCTCTCTCATTTCTTGAGTTTTTCCTCAAAAAACAAAAAGATCCTGGAATATTTGAGTTGATTACTACAAAGTTAACCAAGAAGTAGCCCTAAATTTAGCTTCTGTGCCAAATAAGGTTTCTTTTTTTTTTCCTAAGTGGATTAAAATGGCATCAGGTACAAGGCCAATGAGTGGCAAATGCATTCTGTTCCATCCCTCCTAAGAAAGATGATCAGAAACGTCACTCCTCCATGTGTGATCAAGAGCAATATACTTTCATGTTCTTGTGCATTTTTTTTACCCTTGTCTTTCTTGGTTTTATCCATGCTCATTCTTCTTGAACCCAAGAGTATTCCAGATTTTCCTGAGTTTAATCCATAGTGCTAAATATTTTGGCTTTAATTGGTTCTTTGACTCTACTACTCTGAACATCTTGACTACCCTAAAACTAAAACTGTTTTTTTTTAGCCACAGTTCTAGTCAAACCAGATCCGACCCACATGTGAAGTATCTGGAGATCTATAAATAGTTTGAACTTTAATTTTCTGACCAGCTGATAGTCATGAAATATTACATATAAACAAAGGATTTTCTTCAAGTGACACTTTGTAATTGTAATGGAATCAACCCCTTGATTACCTTAGCACTGATCTTGAGAAAAACACGATAAGCACATATCTTTAAATTGTAAAGGCCCTTCATAATCTGTCTTGTCTACCTTTTCTAAAATCACCTGTGCCCTCTCCTTTATCTCAAACTACTCTCCTTCTTTATTCAGTTATCCAGCCACATTTGCTTTGTCTCAGTTATCAAATATATCACAAAACCTCTGCCAATGGGTATCTTGTTAAAGGCATCCTCATCAAAATTTTTAAACAAATCGGAAATTCAATATTAATATCATAAGTTTTATTTTTAAAACATATATTATCTTTAATATTTCAGGACTCACTGAAGATACTTGGATTTAAATATCTGGAAGAGATAAAATTTTACAATGATACACATGGGAAAAACAATTATTTCTTACCACAGAGTCACACGAAGGTACCTCCATCTCAGGAACTAAAGTGTTTTTGAGATCTTCACTGAAAACAGATCTGTGGAAGCTCTGAGGTATGAAAGAGGTTGTTGATGCATTTTCTTTAATCAAATTTTTATACACTTTTTTTTCAGCCCGAGCTAGGCCTTTCAGTATTATATAAAATCCATCATTTCCAATCACTGAAACAAAACAAAGCCAAAAAAGACATACTGTAAACTTTATTTCTCAGACTCTTTGATATAAAAATGACTACACCACCACTTGCTTTGTTTTCAGATTTCTTTTAGTTTATATAGTCATAGTTACTTCAATGTGGCACTTAAGCATTCACAAACGATTTACTCAAATAACAATAAAAACAAAGACGTGTATACACATTTGGAGAATTCTTTCTGACCGTTTTTTATAGTAATTAATCCTCTTTTGGAACTGATAGATTCTAGGAAAGAACCATGGTAACATATTATGATTAATACATTTAAAGCATCATAAGAAAAATAGGACCAGAAAAGCCTTTCAACTTTTTAAAATGCTTACCCACCCTCAAAAATGACATTTTGTCTATTTTACATAAGTAACAATATATGCCTAGTATTAATTTTCATTTATCTTTGATCTAGAAATGATGATGATCACTCATGGAATGTAGTAAAGTTTGTACAGGGAGAGCATTACTAAAAGAATTTTTTCAGTATTTGTCCTACTCCACATTGTAACTCTCCACAATCTGTCATCTAATTCCCATTCCTGAAGTTCAGCTACATGCCTCTAGGTATAGCAGGTTTATTCACAGTTAGCATTTTGAATGCAACTTAACTCAGTTCTAGTTCTTCTGAAACCTGTCCTTTCAGAGAAGCAGGAATGAGAACTGGATGGTGTCGCCCCATTCCACAATTATTTATATTACTTTATAGGATTGGAGCAAATTATTCAAGTTTTGTGAGGGGCTCTTTTCATACATTTTGCTTATTAACTTGCTGTAGGTAGAAACTTAGCAAATTGATTTTCAGGGACAACTGTGTTTTCTTTTGGCCCTAAAAGATACCAACTGCTTAGTGTCTCTGCCTTTTTTTAAACTCAGTGCTTATTAGTGCTTATTAACTGTACATGGTGACTATAGGAGAGTGATTTTTTTCAGTTTTCTTTGAAGTAAAGGTTGTGTTTACTTGGATGACTGAACTTTAAATAGATTCCTTTTGAGTAACAATTATTGAACATTATTTCTTATTAAACATCTAATCTGTGTGGCAAGGGTACTGTAGAAACATTGCTTTTTATTAGCTATCAGGCAAGCTGTACAAGACTTACACTGTAGTAAGTACACTGTAAATGTAAAAGGTAATAAAATTTTGTAAGACTAGTAATCATTTTAACCAATTACATAAAGGGAAATAGCAGTTGGGAGAAAGGTGCATTCCAATATATACATTTATTTGTTTTGGGGGTTTTTTTTTGTAGAGTTAACTGATAATTCTTAGCATAGAATAAAAATTGTAGGAAGAGGTACATTATGTGATATGATTTAATTGCAAGGGCTGCTAGTTGCCTACCCAATGTGAATTATCTCATTTTTCCTTCCTAAAGAAACCATAGCTTTGTTGGGTGTTGCATGTGCCAGTTTAAAAATTATATTGCCAGCTCCTCTTACATGTGTGGCCACATGACAACATTCTGATGAATAAAACATTGGGAAAACTTGTGATTTCCAAATATGCACACCACCCCTTCTTCCTTGATACCAGAACAGAGATATGAAATGTTGGAGCTGGGGCAAGCATCTTGCAAAAAAAAAAAAAAAAAAGCAAGGAACCATATGGGAGAATATATTCATAAATGATTAATCCAATAAGGGGTTAACATCCAAAATATATAAAGAACTCCTAGTACTCAACAGTAAAAAAACAAATGACTCAGTTAAGAAATGGTAGGAGAACCTGAACATTTTTCCAAAGATGACATACAGATGGTCAACAGGCAAATAAAAGTAAAAGACAAGGAGTATCTTAGAGGATCATCATAACATTTTTAAGCTGCCTGTCTCGTGTCTTTTAAATATGTTAACAAATCCCCCAATTTTTGTAAACCAATGTCCTTTAGTTTCTGCATTACTCACAGCACAGTTCAACAAAATTTTTATGTGGATATTGTTGGAATTTCATTCAACCCTTTGCCACAAAATGTGTTCACCTTATCGATGAATATGACATTTCTGTTTCTCTGAAGAAAACCTTCCTTTTCCTCAGGCCATGGCCCAGTGACCGTGATTTTGACTAAGTAATCTCAGCTTACAATGCAGTAATGTTCACTTTTACCTTATAAAAATATCTGTAATATTAAGGAGGCACCTAAGGAGCTAAACTAATTTGGAGAGTTTGAGATTCATGGAAAATATTCTAGTCAGAAAAATACCCATGAACCCTCAAATTATATTTACAAAAAAAGTCAAAATAAGCTATTCTGGAAGCTGCTAACTACACTTCTATATAAAGATGATAGCTGTATTTGAAATGGAAAAGTAGGGACTCTCTTTTAAAGAAAATGTTTTTATTAATATAGGTAAATACTTCTTTTAATTGGTTACTATATATATATATACTTTTTTTTTTCAAAATAAGATACTATAAATGGAGCAAGTGCTAGGCTAGCAAGTGGGAGGAGGGCCTTAATTAGTCCCAGTGTTGCATTAATTTTGTAATCTTGGGGAATCACATGCTTCTAGGCTCAACTTCCAGTTGAAACATCACCATGCAAAACCAAACGACCTACATGTACTAAATTTTTCTTCATTTTTTCAATTATTTAGGAAATGTAATAAATTTTTATGTGTTGAAGAAATTAAAGAGTTAAAATAATTTATAAATTTCAAAACTAATATACATAGCCAAACTTTACCAGTGAGAAGATTTTTTTTTTTAATTTTTGGCAAACCTGAATTAGTAAACTGCTAGAGATACAAATGAAAAAGACTCATCTAATTATAATATTTAAACTAGTTAATAATAATTCTTTAAAATCTCATACTATATTAAATAATATTAATTTGGAAATATGTTTTAATATAAAATGTATAAAATATTTTACTTAAAACATCTCACATAAATCATTGCCTTGAATTTCTTCATTACCACTTGGATGATTTCTTCAATCATCTAACACAGTTCTCAGAAAACATTATCTTTATTCTAATTGGTTTAAGGTACAGTATATTTTGCATCTTAATGTAATAAAAGTCCTGGAAATTTTATCACAAACCTATAAGTACTGTAATCATTTTCATAACGTTGACACATACTTTTAGCTATGTTTATTTAAGCATCATAAAGTAACTGTTCAATTTTTTGCCAAAAATTTTTTTTCAAAAACTAAAGAATACAGAAAAAGTATAAGGAAAAAATTAGAACTGCCCATACTTATACAAACCAGAATTTTTACTAAGTGCATTTATTTTGAAACAGAGAGAGGTTGAAAAAAGAGAGACCAAAATCATTAAAGTTAGAAAGACTGAAAAAAAATATTGGCAAAGATATGAAGCAATTGGAATTCTCACATATTGTTGATGAGAGTCTAAAACTGTACAATTGCTTTGTAAAAATTTCTGGCAGTTTCTTATAAAATGAAACACATCAAACCTATATTAGTAATTCAACACCTACGTATTTACTCAGAAGAAATGAAAGTATATGTCCAAAAAAGAACTTGTACAGAATGTTACTAGCAGCTATCATAACAGCTAAAAACTGGAAACAGCTCAGGTGCCCATCCAGAAGAATATATATAAAGAATCTCTGGTGTATACATAAAATGGGATACTACTTGGCCATTAAAAATGAGTGAATTATTGATTCATGGATAAATTGATTATGGATAAATCTCAAAACTATGCTTATTGAGATAAGGCCTTTACAAAAGAGTACATATTGTTTGATTTTATTATAGAGTTCTAAACACTTCATGCAAAACTGATTTATATTGGAAAAACAAAGAGAAAAGCAATTGCCTGTGGTAGTGGGACCAGAGATTAGGAAGAAGCATGGAGAGACCTTAGAGGTGATAGTAAAGTTCTGTATTGACAGGGATTTGGGTTACAGTATTTGTGAAACTCAAGTGCTATACACTTAAAGTATATGTATGCACATTGCTGTATGTAAATTTTACCTTCAAAAGATAAAGGAGCAGAAAGAAATACTGAATTCTAGGTAAATATTCAAGTGCTTTAGGGGCAAATGCCCTCATGCTATAATATATCAATAGATTGGAATGTGATACAAATGTATTGGGGAAAAACTGTAGGAAAAGATGTGAAGCTAGAAAAAGAAACATTTTTGTCTTGAGCGAGAATGGTAATTACCAGAATGGTAATTCTAAACATATTACACTTACCCTTTAATCAACCCTATGAGTCAATTATTATGATTCCTCTAATATTATTACTGTGAAAACCTAAGGCACTGAGAAGTTAAATATCCTGCCCAGCTCAGAAAGCCAGTAATGGTAGAGCCAGTATTTAAACACAACCAGTTACAACTCCGGATTACTATTCTAGCCTTTGTAAGCCATTACAGCATCAGCATTCTCTCTCTCTCTCTCTCTTTCTCCTGTCTTTCACCTACCTTTCTTTCTCACAACATATATTTTTTAGGAACATGGTTTCAACTGTGGTAAAGACTATATGTGTAACCTACATAAAAATAATGTTTCTTTTAAGTTAAAAAAGGCACATTTCAAATATGTTTGTTTAAAATGTTTAAAAAATCAATACATGTGTACCTATGAGTACATATTTATGGTATAAACTTTATATAACAAAAACAAGTCTAGAAAGGGATTTGGTAGTATAGTTCTTTATAAGACAACAGATGTAATTTAAATAAAGGTCATCAAAAAGGAGAGTGCTAATTCTGAGCAAAATTATACTGCTTGATTTGAGTTGTAATTATACCTTTCCCCAGATTTTCTCCATAAGGTTAATGTTCTTAGATCTTAATAAGTGGGTTGATTAGCTATTCCTTTAAAAATGGCTCATTAAGAAACAATCTTTTATCTAAATTTCCAAAATCTAGAATCATAGATTTTCCTGCTATCCAAATATGCTAAATTTGCCATGAGGAGTATCACATACTGAACATTAAGTATTTGCCATGCATTGTGCTAGGTGCTCTAACACTAGTTAATTTAATAA